TATACATGTGCTCCAGTACACCTCTTATATTCCTAATAAGCTTTATCTGTTAATTACATTCCAACAGTACGTGGCCTGACACAAACTGTTCAGCCTAACAATAAACATAGCTACCCAATGCATCACAGTCTCGAATGCATCATTGTCTAGGCTTTGTGTCTCCCAGCCTTCCAATGACACAAGAAAACATTTTTTACAGGTTCTTGAATGTCAACTGTCCAAGGTACTTTTTATATAACACTCATAGATAACAGAACCTATGATTTGTATCATTCTAAAGCTAGGCTGGAAAGCTTTCCAATTCAGTGTTTGTGTGGGGTTGTGGGGCTATGAGTGGGCTCATTACCAAGCACAGGCTTAAATTATTGCTAGACAGAAACGTTATGAATACCCATCTAAATTAAAATCAATATTTGGAGACTTATAATGCCAAGATCTGTCTGAGTCCTGATGCTTTTTATCTGCTACTAGTAAAGGTATTTTTAACTTTCATCCATTTCACAAACAGGAGTGGCACACATTTTTTCTAAATATGAGAAGCTGCAGCAGCTGTGTATTGCTTTATTTAAAAAGTTCACTATCACACAAACTGCTTACTGGTCTATTCCCAGCCAGGCAATAATGTCAGTAACCGTTACCCATGTGATACACTAGTTACACACTAAGATGTTCTTTGTCACCAGATACTGTACAGATATTCTGTATCAGTGAGACCATTCCAACGAAGACAGGGAGGATTTATAGCTCCAGAGTGCATTGAATGACAAAGATGTCTGCTAATTGCTATTTAAAGTTAATGGTCGATGACAAAGAGCAATTAAAATAAAAAATTTGACAATCTTAATTGAGATTTAAATTTTAGTAATAAAGATATAGCCCTGCCAAATCCCCTGTAAAGTTACCTTCTACACAGTAAACAATTTCAGCATAAACTGCTTGCATCATACAAACAATACAAAAGCCAAACACAGTACTTAGACTGAAGTGGTCTTAGTCGCTCAAGGACAGAAAGACGATATAACAGACTTGTCTTTGAATGTATTTATATAGATCATCCATCAGTGGACGTCCATAATAAGGTGCCCATTGATCAATACCTTGTACAAATAGCGATCTGTAGCAGTAAAAGTAGATTGGTATAATACTATTTAGAACCATAGTCAATATATTGTTGACCTCCTGTACCAGACACATAGTGAACTGTTTCCCCTCAGCTACTATAATGATGCTCTAGTCTGTAATGGGTCATTAATCAACTGTGGTCATCATCAACTTCAAACGTAGTGGTCAGTTACTGCCCACATAGGACTTCGCAAACCAGGTATTTAATCAAGGTGTTCTATAGTAAACAGGCTAGATAAGGTCCAGTTTTTCCACCAGATCATCCCATCTGATCTGCTGAATGACAATATTTTGTCTGTCATTGGCTCATCATTAATGGGAAAATTGACCTGTAATATCTTTCGTTCCAGCCTGTTCATGAGCACAGTCCAAAAATTAATATCACAACTTAAAAATAATTATAACGGCTTTCATCGATGTAACAACTTGTGCTAGAAATTTTGTTTCCATTCTAAGTAGGTGATTGTGCTGTTTCTTTATTTAGCACCAGCCCTGATCAAAGTCCCCAAGACACTTTGATGAGTAAACTGGATGAAAAATCCTCCTTTTCAAGTTGCATTTTTGTTTAGTGAAAAAAGAACTACCTTAACAATCGATAGTTGAACAAACTATCGCAACATTTATCAACTCAAAAATTTGTGATTGACCTATTGCTATAAAGAACAAAGCTATCGCAATACATCCAATATCCACCTATCGTTACATCACTATCACAGCACAAAAATAACTATCACGGCTAGAAACCCTCATTTTTCAATAATTTCCTGGGATGTATAATTTCACTGATTATATTTATGAGCAAATTACAAGAAAGGCACAAACATACAGAGTAACATAGCTACATACACATCTATTATATCATGCATACATATCAAAATAGTTCTATTGAGAAAGGCATTTAGGTAATTTGGCTTACTTGAAGATAAATGTGGATCTAGTGAGATGTGTTATATATAAAATACCTCGCTCTAAACTACCAGACTTCAACATGTGACTTATCTAGGGAAGACTCATTATCATGTAATGATGTATTACATAGAAGGTAAAAATTCACCAACAACACTTTCTGTGAAAGAAATGTTTTACCTGTCGAGCACACTGATTACCACAGAACCCCAGAGAACGTGATGTCTAGAGTAAGAATGTACTGACACATAAATGTCTTATCTTAAACCTTTTATGTTAAATTTATTTGCATTTTAAAAGTAAAATTTCAAAACATAAAATAAATCATATCTTATAATAATTTATATGCAGTACTCAAGAGATATTTGAGCTTTATATTTCTAACTTTTATGCAACATGAGGAACAAAATGGCATTCTTATATAACATGTTGGTGTGGATCTGCGTTCCCCTAGCATGGATCCAATTAGCTGGAACACCAATCAACAATGTTGTTGAGTCAGACATACAATTAAGAACAGCTGTAGAGACAGGTTCTAACTAATCAGGACAATGCTTTTAATGGAAAACTCATGCTTCATGTATATTGCAATACAAAAATTATGACTATGGTCTACATTGGTTATAAACAAGATAGTGCTTCAAACATTTGTTAGGTAAATGTTACTGAATAATGGTAGAAGAAACCTTGTTAGATACTTAAATATCTTACCAATAACAAATTTCCTGGCTACAAAAAAATGCATCCACAGGCAATCGACGAGAAGTCAGATAACTAATTAGCCTTTTTATATATTGATATCTCTGATTGAAATCTTACACATCATAAGCTCAGTCAAGCATATTGGTAAGTACAGGGTGGGACCAGGGTAATTTCATTAGACCATTATTGAGTAGGTTTTACAGAGAGACTCAGAGTATATCTAAATCATGGTCACCATTCCTACCTAAAGTCTTTTTGTCTATGGAGTGTCACTTATTTTAAGTGATCATCGGATATTTTTAATATACTATTACAATACGTATACAATCCTATTAAATGCAGTTTTATCCAAGATGGGCTTTGTTTTAGGTATGGAAGTGGAGATAGTTACATCCCAATGTGCACGTCCATCGTTGACCAGTAATCCCTAATACCAATCACTGAACTCCAGACCACTTAGCCTTTAAAGCTGCATTTAACAAATAACATATACAGTAGTTAATATACGATATTATAAACTGTTTTTTCTGATTTCTTTTTAAAAATATTTTATTTCTTAAGAAGTGGTTGTTTGATATATTTTGTAAAAGAAAGTTTTATGAAAGAATAATGGAGAGAATGTTTAAATCAAATGTTTCAAATATTTGTAGTACACAGGATGTCTGTATGAAATATTTCTGTGTTAAGAGGATGACATTGTGTATGTATGAACTATTGCACTTCTGGCTGTGTTGATGTCAGTTGTACTGTAGGATTTATCAGTTGTAGGTTATCTATTATCTGAGCCAGATATCGGCCAGTGTCATCCATACATACACAGGGAACAAGGTCCAACGGTGCTTACAGAGACTGTAAACAAATTATCACTCACAATCTGATTCCAACATAAGTCAAAAAGTGAATGTCAGTTTCATATTACCAGGAAATATTCCACCAATGAAAACTAGACTGATGCCACAGCCTTAAGTAAGTTCTTGTTTAAATATGAAATTGGTCAAATAGCTGTCAACAGAATATGCACGAACATGTCGCATGTATATTCATACTTTGTTTCAAATGCAGCTCACATCTTTCCTATCCAAGCCTACTGGTAAACAATGATACACAGCACTTCCATGAAAAGATCGGTCAACTCCGTATTTGCTGCATAATCCATCTTGTATGATTCCTTTTGAAATATAAGTTTGTTAGTCACCGCATAATCAGTTTAAGACTGTTGATTTGAAATGATCTGAAAGTCTTGTGACATTCCTACATTTCCCTTCATATCTCTATATTGTCCAACCAATACTTATGTTTCTTCTCCTTCCTAAAAATTTCCTCTTTGTTTCCCTTTCCTATTTTTTCCTTTTCGATATCTTCTCTCTCTCCCGATGACCTCCCTGCCCTCTCCTACATTGACTTGGAAGGGTATTATTTTTGACAAACACAAGAACCATGTTGATTATTGAACCATGTTAGTTTCTGTTAAAAGAAATCAATAGAAGTAGCGTTTCTTTGAATGTTGTAAAGCTTCTCTCAATTATATGTCTCCGCCTCACTCTCTAAAGCAAACATTTTTTATAAAAAAAAAGTATGGCCTTAGTCTACTGATTCTGCAGTGTATTAACTATAAAGAATACCCTAGTTCATGGACAGAATCTATAAGACAAAGAAAGAAATCAATTGTATAAATAGGATAAAAATGACTTTGATTCTTTACAAAGGTATTTTTTTAATCCCTACGGAGTATAGGTGAAAGTGATGACACAATATATTAGCAGGTATATCACACTGGCAACCAAATGTTAACAATCTAGTGTATCTTTTTCACTGAGGTAAATCTACACTACAGGACACCAAGTACAGGAGAAAAATTCATGTTGAAATTGCCTTGAATTTTAAATATTGTTGGTATTCAGTAAAACCTTACATGTTGTTCATATAGATCTATCTTTTTTTCTCTGTCTTTTGAAGGTCTGATAAAAAAAACAGTGACTAAAAACCATTACGAATTTGAATGAAAAAAATATCAAGCCCAAATATAACTGAGGGCCATACCAGATATCTACTACACCACAAACATTTGTGTTTTTTTTATCTTGGAATTTGAGGAACATAAATTTGTGAAAATATTTCTATGTATATGATTTACTCATAAAATCAATATATTGCAATACCTGTAAAAATTACTGTTCCGAAAAGTTTCCTAACAACCCATGAATTCTTCAAACTACTATACACAATCCATCAATTTTCTGTTTCATATTTTTCCTACTTGTATTTTTCAGAGTAATACCCCCTAACGATGTGAGACAATACTGAAGGGTGTCCAGGTGACATGGCAGAGACACATACAGGGCAGACTGCTTGGTGACAGTCGCCATGGAGTGGATTAAGACACGTCCGACGAGCGTGTTGTGGCAGGTGATGACTTTGCTGCTCCTCTGCCCCTACTCCACACAGCTGTGTCCAGGCCAATGTCAGTGCCATGGCAACAAAAACACAGGGCAGGTCAAGGTCACTTGCGCTGACCTTTCCCTTACAACTGTACCCTTGGATCTTCCTGACAATACCACGATATTGGATCTACATGGCAACCTAATTGCTAATCTGAGTCTGGAAAACCTTGCCAATCTTCCAGAAGGAATTCTAGAAATTGACCTCAGAGATAATTTGATTACAGAAATTGGTGAGGATTTTTTTCGGAATTTGAAACAATTGACAAAATTGTCTTTGGAATCTAACCAAATCACAGTTATACAGTCTGGAGCTTTTGAGCATCTTCAAAGTTTAAGAAACCTTAACTTAGCCAAAAACCATATGGAAGTACTACAGGCAGAGCTGTTCTATGGACTATCTGAACTACGCCAACTAAATCTAAGTGAAAACTCGGTATATACTATTGAGAATGGTACATTCCAGGAACTTAACTCCATGACGACCTTGGATTTAAGTTTTAACAAGCATCTGTCTCTCAGCAACACAAGCCTGATGGGCTGTAGTCAAGTTCACGAATTATATTTACAAGGATGTGGACTAGATATGATAAATCAGGTTCTTGAAGGCATGACGTCTCTGCTATATCTTGATCTCTCAAGCAACAATATTCCATATGTGAATCAATCGACATTCCCAAAACTACAGGCATTAAAGAACTTAGTCCTAACCAACTGCAGTATCAATCAACTGGAGCCAAATTCATTTTATGCTTTTCCTAAACTGGTAAATTTAACACTTGACCATAATCCATTAGAAGAAATATTAGGTGGTACGTTTGCAGGATTGAGCCATCTGGAGACCCTTTCTATCAGCAACCTTCCTCAACTCTATTATATATACAGCAAAGCCTTTGACAAGTTAACAAGTTTACGAGTACTTTTGATCAACAACAATTCACGATTGGCATATCTCCATTACAATATATTTCAAAGTATACCAAGCCTCTCTTATCTTGACTTGAGCTTTAATAATATCAGTCGCGCTCATGAAAATGTGTACAGTAGGTTCAAGAGCGTCACAGTGAATATTAATGGGAACTACCTCTTATGTGACTGCGAATTAGATTGGATACTGCAAGCAATATATTCTAAATCCATGGATCTTCCAGTGACCTTTCAGAATCAAGATAAACTAAACTGTAGTTTTGAGAACAACTTGTCCAATGAATATCCACTGTGGAACTTATCCCTCAGTGACTTACAGTGCCATAACCTAACAGCCAGACCCTCACACAACTCATCTGTTATGTTCTTCCCTATTGGAAGGTCTGCCAACTTGTTATGTGATGTGGAAGGTTATCCAAGTCCTATGGTCACTTGGATCCTTCCTAGTAACAGACAGATTTCCTTCCAGAATTCACATCCACTGATCCATATGGAACATAAGTCCAAAGCGGAGATAGATCAGAATGTAAAGTTACATCCCTCGTGGCATAACTCAGGAAGTTATAGATCCGATATTGAAAATCACCCAGAAAGGATTATCATCCTTCAGGATGGGTCTTTATTTATAGAATATATACTGCGAAGTGATGCAGGTCCATACTCTTGTGTTGTTCAGAACTCAAAGAGCAAGCTTTCCATGCATCTTATCCTCAGGTTGAACTATGAGATTATAACAGAAGTCAAAATAATGAGTCTATTTGTAGGCCTGGCATGTGCTGCTTCCTTCTTTATGTTGAATCTGATATATGCCTTCACATCTGCACTGGCACGCCGTTGTATCAATCAACGTCGTCGTGATGCCATTTTGAAACTTCTTGAGAATCTAGACCAATACAAGTCATCGCAGATGAGTCGACTTCGTGAGAATTACAACAGTCAGTTACAGAAGATTCGAGATACCTACCACCAGCGTCTTGAACGAATCAGTACTAACTATACCTCACAGGTGTCACGGCTCCGACAAGGGGCCTCCCATCTACGTGAGGGTGCCTCCAATAAAGTCGGCACCATTAGAGGTAACTATAAATCAGTGCGTGACAATTACAATAACCAGCTTGGAAAGCTGCGTGATTACAGCTCCCACCAGTTAGAGCAGCTACGCGAGATGTACAGCAACCAGGTGTTAAAGATACGTGACTATGGTTCTTTACAACTAGGACGTTTCCATCACAAGTACAAGTTACAGCAACGACATGTCATCAAACTTTTAGAGATGATGAACATGGACAACTGCCGTACAGTGTTCGAAACCGAATGTGTTCATGCTGAGTCTATGATATTGTCAGAGCCAAGTCTGGACCCGACAATATTACCTCCAGTGGACAGTATCAGTGTCAGTGATGAGGAATATGTTACAGCCACGTCAGAGTCATCCTCAATTTCTAGTCAGGATCACTTGACACATTTATTACCTAAGGAGGGTCAATCAGGGGAGATAACAGCATCCACTTCAGGATATTCTCCTGAATCAGAGGATGTGAATCTGACAAGCTCAGGATACATTCCTGACAAACATATATCTGACTATGATGTAGATGATGAGAGTGACAGTAGAGGGAACGAGGGACGAGGTGATGGTCGGACCTCATCCTATGTCAATATACAGATGATAGATGAATGCGAGGATTATGATTTGGAATATGAAGGTGATTACGACGAGGACGAAGTTACAGTATGAGTGTATATATAATACAGATATGTATGAATGTGTAGTTAGAGATACCGGAGAACTTCCCTAGTTTTACCAAATGCAGTGTATATAGCTTTAATATTTAAACTGCCAATATATATTTTGAATCATGAATACTTGTTTTACAAAAGAGTGATTACATAAGTTGTCTTTTATACAAATGAATATAAATTTAAACAAGTTATGGAACAATTGACATGGAAAAAACTTGATTTCTTAACTGTGTTGAGATATTTTTTTAATTATAACTAAAGTCTTGAAGAACATCCAGAATTTTACAATACGTTTAAAAGATTGTTAGTTGATGTCACTGGCTGGTGATGTGGTATTGTACCAAAATCACACTCCAAACAAACAAATTGGTGACCAAAATAGGGGAATTTAGTATAAAGTGAAGGTCCATGACGGATAAAGGATCAATTAGTTTAAGGGTAATGGGGTCATTGAGTGTACCAGTTTGTAAGGGGTACTGTCCAGTGAAAACTACAAAAGTTATTGTTTGTTCTAGGTAAGCACTGTAGTTTTAATATCAAACTTTTATGTACACATTTTCTGTCCCATTTTTCTCACAAACACAATTATCATCATTAAAGAAAAATTACAAATTCAAACTTCTCAAGATATCCGGAAAATAAAACACTGCATGTTTCTCCCACAGGTAGGGTAACTTATATATCAATGTTTTGTAATCAGAAAATTAATCAGAAATCAACATCGAATTGTTTGAGCAAAAGAAATGTGTGTTAGTGTGTTAGTCTACTGAAGTCTTGTTGATCAGGGAGTGTGTGCTAGTGCAATATGAGTGAAATCATCTAGTCACTAAAACAGACAATTGCTATAGTCAGAGCTTAAGCCTCATTTTCACATAGCAAATAGATATTTCACGAGTAATGAGGTTGCTATAGCGACAACTTTTATTTACCTTTTTCACTAGTCAGTATTTGTTATGTTATTCATGTTCTTAGACGAGTAACCAATTAAATTATACATTATTGTAATGTGTGTCTAGTCTTCAATTTCTCATTCTGATTCCTGAAGTTTAGTAAGGTTAGATCAGGCCAATATAATTTAAACTATGTAATAGAAAAATGCCAAAACAAATATTTAATATATTAATAGTAATCAATTTTTTTTTGAAAATATATATAAAAAAAACCCTCTAAAATCATGAAAATAATTACCATTTTGATAACCTCCAGTAATAAGAAGTCATCACTAAGCGTTTTTCTTTCGCACTTTTAAATTGAAGCATACTGTTCAGTCAATTTTCACTAATTAAGTACAGTTTTTTTCTATTGTCGTTATTTTTTAAAGCTTCTATATTATAAAATGTAAATTTTTAATCATCTTTAATACAAGCACTTTTATCAATTCAAATTTTATCTAGTTTAGTAAGTGTACATTCTGATTTTAAAAAATGTTATTTTATGTTATTGCATGTGTACCTGACAGTGACATCTACAAGGTGATAAGGCCAAACTGACCATGTAAATCACAAGGTAATTTTGTTAATCTGTGCACCTGGCTACTCGGATGGTGCAGTGGAAATGCACTCCCTATTCACTTAGGTAACTGAGGTCCACTTTGCCAATGTAAAATGGTATAGTTTATGTGCACGACCACATGACTTTTCCCTGGGTACACAGGTTTCCTCCACAGTAAGAGTGATTACTCTAAATTAGTAAAACTTGTTTCACAATTGTTGTAAAATGAATAATGTTCAATTCCATTTAAGTTATAACCAAATAAAATACTGGCACGTACCAATACAGAGATAATGAAATAAAAATCAAGTGTCTCATTCATGAGAAATCAAAACTTTAGTCAATGACAAATAAAAGATTCAAATTTCCTGCTGTAGGAGTCCCTGTCATCATGATGTAGTAATATTTGTAATATTTTGAACAGAGTTTGTTTTTCTGTTGGTTAGTGGGTTGTTACATTTTGTGTCTCTCTAGTCACTGGTACAACATGTCACTGATGTACAGACTCTGACTGGTTGGTTTGTTATTTTAACCTTCTCTGTTGTACAGAAACTACTAGATTGTGGACAGATTAAGATAAAATTTCACTAGCTCGGTTTATATTTTCATAACAAATATTCAACAAATGATTTCGCCCTGAGGGAGCGTCGGACTAGTGGAATTCTACATGTCTGTCTGAAGTACATGCAGTCAGATTGGAATGTGCTTATAAAGTGTATTATTTTTCTTTGTGCCAATGTCCTGTTTACTTCACTGTTACGTCAAGTGCTTATTAAACTACAATGAGTTTGCCTTGTGTGGTGTGTTTTATTCCAAACCTCAAGACAACAGGAAGACTAGAATAATCTTGATGACATGTACACAGGACCAGGTAACAAACAAATGTTTGTAAAAAAAATGTAAAAAAAACCATGTAACATGAAACAGCCTGAAAGAATAGTACAAATTAAATTCAATAATTTAACTTTTTCTGCTAACAGCGAAACTGTTTTTTTGGAACAAAATATGAAAATACTGATCTGACACCAGATACATATTTGTAATACTACTGTGAATCAACTGATCATTAAGGACATCGTAACAAGGACAATGTCCTGTGACTGTGTAGTTAACATCGATGTGTAAATTCCATACTCAGGGTAAAGTACACCGAGGATACTTACAATTCAACAACTCCACTTATATAAGTGACGGAGTGGTTAAAAGTTCAATGAATTCACAGCTGTACATTTCATCTGTTTCCCGATTTCATTTTCTGGTATCTTATTTTTCACAATTTCATTTGACCCCTTCAAATTGTGTAAATAGACTTCTTCTGAACTTTTTCCGTATTCCATGAAAGTGAACATAAAAAAGAGGATACAAAAGTTAACATTTCTGTTAGGATTGTTGATTTTGTACTGACACCGCTCTGTGATTTTACAATCTATCAGGAAATCTTCTAGTCAATTCCTGAGTCAAATCATTATTACTCCACAATTCATGAGTAACATCATAATTTTTTAACATGTTTGTGCAGTGAATATTTTCCCAGACAACATGAACCTGACATTGTTCCCCACCAACCATCACCGCCTCTAATAAAGGAAGACACCAATGTTGTACTGTATTACAGAAAATTTCCCAGAAATGAACCCGACATTGTTCCCCACCAACCATCACCGCCTCTAACAAAGGAAGATACCAATGTTGTACTGTATTACAGAAAATTTCCCAGACATGAACCTGACATTGTTCTCCATCAACCATCACCACCTCTAACAAAGGAAGATACCAATGTTGTACTGTATTACAGAAAATTTCCCAGACATGAACCTGACATTGTTCTCCATCAACCATCACCGCCTCTAACAAAGGAAGATACCAATGTTGTACTGTATTACAGAAAATTTCCCAGAAATGAACCTGACACTGTTCCCCATCAACCATCACCGCCTCTAACAAAGGAAGATACCAATGTTGTACTGTATTACAGAAAATTTCCCAGAAATGAACCTGACACTGTTCCCCATCAACCATCACCGCCTCTAACAAAGGAAGATACCAATGTTGTACTGTATTACAGAAAATTTCCCAGAAATGAACCTGACATTGTTCTCCATCAACCATCACCGCCTCTAACAAAGGAAGATACCAATGTTGTACTGTATTACAGAAAATTTCCCAGAAATGAACCTGACATTGTTCCCCACCAACCATCACCGCCTCTAACAAAGGAAGATACCAATGTTGTACTGTATTACAGAAAATTTCCCAGACATGAACCTGACATTGTTCTCCATCAACCATCACCACCTCTAACAAAGGAAGATACCAATGTTGTACTGTATTACAGAAAATTTCCCAGACATGAACCTGACATTGTTCCCCACCAACCATCACCGCCTCTAACAAAGGAAGATACCAATGTTGTACTGTATTACAGAAAATTTCCCAGACATGAACCTGACATTGTTCCCCACCAACCATCACCGCCTCTAACAAAGGAAGACACCAATGTTGTACTGTATTACAGAAAATTTCCCAGAAATGAACCTGACACTGTTCCCCATCAACCATCACCGCCTCTAACAAAGGAAGATACCAATGTTGTACTGTATTACAGAAAATTTCCCAGACATGAACCTGACATTGTTCTCCACCAACCATCACCGCCTCTAACAAAGGAAGATACCAATGTTGTACTGTATTACAGAAAATTTCCCAGACATGAACCTGACATTGTTCCCCATCAACCATCACCGCCTCTAACAAAGGAAGATACCAATGTTGTACTGTATTACAGAAAATTTCCCAGAAATGAACCTGACATTGTTCTCCACCAACCATCACCGCCTCTAACAAAGGAAGATACCAATGTTGTACTGTATTACAGAAAATTTCCCAGAAATGAACCTGACATTGTTCTCCACCAACCATCACCGCCTCTAACAAAGGAAGATACCAATGTTGTACTGTATTACAGAAAATTTCCCAGACATGAACCTGACATTGTTCCCCACCAACCATCACCGCCTCTAACAAAGGAAGATACCAATGTTGTACTGTATTACAGAAAATTTCCCAGACAACATGAACCTAACCAAAGGTACCCAAACTATGAACATCTTTTAAAATTGGATCTCTTCCTTTATGTTCTCTTCTCTCCTTCGTTTTTGCTCTTAATTTGGATATTCCTTTGAAAAAAAAAAGATAATAATCTTCAACTGCCAATTTCAGGATGGTCACCTGTCAGCCATTTTCTTTTTCTGATCTGACCCAAAATCAAACAGACACAACTAGGGACCAAGGCGAACCTACATATTAAATTTGAAAGAGATCCATTCAGTACTTCGTAAGAAGTAGTGATAACAAACAAACTTAATCAAAGATGGCCATCTATTAGCCATTTTGTTTTCCTGATCGGTCCAAAAAGTAATCAGGCACAACTTGGGACCATACATAAGAAATTTCATGGAATTAATGTGTTATCAACATCCTCTACTTAAAACAATCCAGAAACTATTAAATGTACCCTCCCGCTATGCAGCATTCCATAAATTGGTTTATTTTTATGCCGAATAACAGCAAAATTTAATAGAAATTTCTGGATAAAATAATTAATTTATATAACAGTGCAGGTATGTAATCATATCACTGTTAATCCCTTATCTGCTGTCCTGTTGGACACCTGTATCAACACACAGGAGAAATCAGGACCATTACAAGTTGAAATTGGATACAATGGGACACAGGTACAGTTTGTCGAAAAGAGGGGAAAATACCATGAACGTGAAGAGGCAGAGATGAAAATGAGTTCAAGGAATGTGGAGTGTAAAACAAAACAGCAGTTCAAGGAATCTGAGGTTATATAGCTAGAAATATATAAGGACACGGTTTGGAACAACTGGCCAGTTCGAGGAATAGGAGGTACTAATGAAATACAAGTTCGAGTAAGTGGGGTTCTACTGTAATTTGATACCTTTCATTAATTACTAGATGACATGTTGGTGAGAAAAGTTTCAGGTTACATCTTGATAAAAGTTCTAAGTGGTTTTGACATACCAATTCCGTTTAAATTTACCAAAATTCTCTCAGAGCATTAACTTGAAAAGTTTGCACCACAGTATGATTATCTGATTATACAGTACATGTATTGTGGTTGGGTGTATTTTATTTATCCTGTAATAAGCCCACGGGGTCAATGCATTAACTGGGACTTGTAAAGGAGAGGCTGACTTACTTTGTTGGCATTTCTTTTGAAACTGCAACAGATTTCGGTGGGCATATTACCTGGCATGGACATATTGTCGGTGGGCATATTACCTGGCATGGATATATTGTTGGCTAAGTCCTAAATGTATACTGTAAGTAAGTATAAAGGTAAAGAAACCATGCTCACTGACCTTCAGAGCTGTCCTGTTCCACACAGTCACCTCATGACCTGACCTCAGAAGGTTCATCACCATACCCTGTCCCATAATACCCAGGCCCAGGAAGCCAATCCTTGATGGTGTGGGGATGACTGTTTTAGCTGCAGCTCTTGCTGAAAGAAGTGTCTCCTCAATCTGGGTTCCTGCTGACGACATTGGATTATTTATACCCGACATATCGGGCGAGGAAAGAGAACTTCTCACCGGAGATTGCTTCTGTGGGGAGAGTACCATGTTCTCCTCTGTATGCTACAAGAGGAAGTAACAATGATGTTTTAGTGTCATGTTAAATAATTCCAAAGCAAATATATGCTGTCAGGGGAAGTAACTCTGACAATAAAGACACTTGAATTAAAAATATTTTGAGAACAAGGTATGAATTTCTCAATTATTTTACAGTGCACACAGCATCAAAGTAAAAAATATTATCAAGGGCCCATAAGGCCTGTATCGCTCACCTGGCTTTGATTGACTGAAATTGCTTTAATAAAACTAAAGGAAAAGAAATTCTAAATATCCAAGCCCAAAACACAAAACATCTATTTTCCCATTGGACCCCAACCCTCTGTCCTTAGGGGGTCAGCCACACCATTCATACCTCAGACCAAATCAGTCCTACAGGAGAAGTAAGACTTAAAAGCATTTGCCCTATTTCCAATATATGGCCCCACCTCTACTGCCCCAGGGAGCCAAGACCTGCAGTTTATACAAAAATGATTCCACTTCCCCCATGACTGTTTCAGACAAAATTTGGGCAAAATCAGATCATTCGTACAGGAGGTATAGGATTTTAAAGAATTTCTTTATTTCTCAAATTTCGCAGAAAAATTAAATAAAATCCTCTTTGTCATAGGAATGATTTGTAGAAAATGTTTATGGACAGATGGACAAGCCATCCTCCAATACATCAATGTACCAGGACACACTGACAATTCTACATTATCTCACTGTACCAGGACACACTGACAATTCTACATTATCTCACTGTACCAGGACACACTGACAATTCTATATTATATCACTGTACCAGGACACACTGACAATTCTATATTATCTCACTGTACCAGGACACACTGACAATTCTATACTATCTCACTGTACCAGGACACACTGACAATTCTATATTATCTCACTGTATAAGGACATACTGACAATTCTATAGTCTCTCACTGTACCAGGACACACTGACAATTCTACATTATCTCACTATACCAGGACACACTGACAATTCTACGTTACTATACTGTACCAGGACACACTGACAATTCTACATTATCTCACTATACCAGGACACACAGACAATTCTATATTATCTCTCTATAACAGGACACACTGACAATTCTACATTATCTCACTGTACCAGGACATACTGACAATTCTATATTATCTCACTATACCAGGACACACTGACAATTCTATATTATCTCACTGTACCAGGACACACTGACAATTCTACATTATCTCACTATACCAGGACACACTGACAATTCTACATTACTATACTGTACCAGGACACACTGACAATTCTACATTATCTCACTGTACCAGGACATACTGACAATTCTATATTATCTCACTATACCAGGACACACTGACAATTCTACATTATCTCACTGTACCAGGACACACTGACAATTCTATATTATATCACTGTACCAGGACACACTGACAATTCTATATTATCTCTCTATAACAGGACACACTGACAATTCTACATTATCTCACTATACCAGGACATACTGACAATTCTATATTATCTCACTATACCAGGACACACAGACAATTCTATATTATCTCTCTATAACAGGACACACTGACAATTCTATATTATCTCACTGTACCAGGACACACAGACAATTCTATATCAACTCACTATACCAGGACACACTGACAATTCTATATCAACTCACTATACCAGGACACACTGACAATTCTATATCAACTCACTATACCAGGACACACTGACAATTCTATATTATCTCACTGCACCAGGACACACAGACAATTCTACATTATCTCACTGTACCAGGACACAGTATCGATTCTACATTATCTCACATAACCAGGACACATTCACAATTCTACATTATCTCACTCTACCAGGACACACCAATAATTCTATATTACTACATTTACCAGGACACACTGACAATTCTATATTATCTCACTATACCAGGACACACAGACAATTCTATATTATCTCACTATACCAGGACATACTGACAATTCTATATTATATCACTGTACCAGGACACACTGACAATTCTACGTTACTATACTGTACCAGGACACACTGACAATTCTACATTATCTCACTGTACCAGGACATACTGACAATTCTATATTATCTCACTGTAGAAGGACACACTGACAATTCTACATTATCTCACTGTACCAGGACACACTGACAATTCTACATTATCTCACTGTACCAGGACACACTGACAATTCTACATTATCTCACTGTACCAGGACACACTGACAATTCTACATTATCTCACTGTACCAGGACACACTGACAATTCTACATTATCTCACTGTACCAGGACACACTGACTATTCTATATTATCTCACTGTACCAGGACACACTGACAATTCTATATTATCTCACTCTACCAGGACACACTGACAATTCTATATTATCTCACTGTACAAGGACACACTGACAATTCTATATTATCTCACTGTACCAGGACACATTCACAATTCTACATTATCTCACTGTACAAGGACACACTGACAATTCTATATTATCTCACTGTACAAGGACATACTGACAATTCTATATTATCTCACTGTACAAGGACATACTGACAATTCTATATTATCTCACTGTACCAGGACACACTGACAATTCTATATTATCTCACTGTACCAGGACACACAGACAATTCTATATTATCTCACTGTACCAGGACACACAGACAATTCTATATTATCTCACTATACCAGGACATACTGACAATTCTATATTATATCACTGTACCAGGACACACTGACAATTCTACATTATCTCACTGTACCAGGACACACTGACAATTCTATATCATCTCACTGTACCAGGACACACTGACAATTCTTCATTACTTCAGTGTACAATGATACACTGACAAATTTGAGTTATCTCACTGTACCATTATACACTGACAATTCTACATTACTACACTGTACCAGGAAACACTGACAATTCTATATTATTTTACTGTACCATTATGCACTGATGATTTTGCATTATCTTATGTTACCAGGGCATTTTAAAATTCAACATTATGTCTTATCCCGATTATCATACTGGTACATTGAATTGACAAGGTAATGTTTTCAAACCCCCCTCCTTCCCCCACCCCACTCCCTTTGGGAGAGATTGAAAATTCTAGTAATTCTAACTGTTATCTATATAACGGAGACTATGCCTAGTTCTTACTTACAGAAGCAGATGCTGATAATTCTGCTTTAGATTTTGGTTTTATCTTTGTAGAATCAACTGCAGATGGAGGTTTACTTGGGGAGCCCTGTACCTTTGCAATCATTTTTTGTTTTTTTAATCGTGGCTCTCCTCCAACCCCTGCAGGACGTTTCATTGGAAATCTCTTTGGTGTGAGGGATCCTGTGCTCTGCAATAAATACAATAAAGAGTACAATTCAGATGGACCAAGGACCCGCTACTGCTGATTTTCTCAGATGTGAGATTCAGAGTCCTGCTGAATAGTTTATAAAAATAAGTCTTGGAAAATTTATTTCTATTGGCCCCACCCATCAGCCCTGAAAATGGAGGCTGAGCAATTCTCTTATTATTCCCATTAAAATGCTTTCACTGAATTGTAGTTTATTTCTCTTAAATTATTCAATAGTTAAGGGATAGAAATTGACAGATGAGAATTAAATTGATGTGATTCATGTAAACAGTTCTATCAATCAGATAAACACAGGTATAAGGATATCTGTGATGCAGATTTAAAAAGATATTAGAATATCTGAGATAAAGACTTGTACAGCTATCAGGATATCTAACATCTGTGATACAGACAGATACAGATATTGTCTGTCTGTAAAACAAGCTTATATGTGTGTGTCAGAATATCTGTGATACAGATTTATACAGGTATCAGGATAAGTGACACATGTTCATACATATATTATGATTTCTGTGACACAGGTTTATACCGATATCACAATATCTGAGATATTGTCATGTTCAGGTATCGGGATACCTGTGACACAGCTTTATACAGGAATCAGGATACCTGTGACACAGCTTTATACAGGAATCAGGATACCTGTGACACAGCTTTATACAGGAATCAGGATACCTGAGACACAGCTTTATACAGGAATCAGGATACCTGTGACACAGCTTTATACAGGAATCAGGATACCTGAGACACAGCTTTATACAGGAATCAGGATACCTGTGACACAGCTTCATACAGGAATCAGGATACCTGTGACACAGCTTTATACAGGAATCAGGATACCTGTGACACAGCTTTATACAGGAATCAGGATACCTGAGACACAGCTTTATACAGGAATCAGGATACCTGTGACACAGCTTTATACAGGAATCAGGATACCTGTGACACAGCTTTATACAGGAATCAGGATACCTGTGACACAGCTTCATACAGGAATCAGGATACCTGTGACACAGCTTTATACAGGAATCAGGATACATGTGACACAGCTTTATACAGGAATCAGGATACCTGAGACACAGCTTTATACAGGAATCAGGATACCTGAGACACAGCTTTATACAGGAATCAGGATACCTGAGACACAGCTTTATACAGGAATCAGGATACCTGTGACACAGCTTTATACAGGAATCAGGATACCTGAGACACAGCTTTATACAGGAATCAGGATACCTGTGACACAGCTTCATACAGGAATCAGGATACCTGTGACACAGCTTTATACAGGAATCAGGATACCTGTGACACAGCTTTATACAGGAATCAGGATACCTGTGACACAGCTTCATACAGGAATCAGGATACCTGTGACACAGCTTTATACAGGAATCAGGATACATGTGACACAGCTTTATACAGGAATCAGGATACCTGAGACACAGCTTTATACAGGAATCAGGATACATGTGACACAGCTTTATACAGGAATCAGGATACCTGAGACACAGCTTTATACAGGAATCAGGATTTGTGTGGCACAGGTTTACATAGAAAATCTGTGATAGAGACTGATATAGGGACCAGGTCATTTGATCCAGGTTTATACAGACATAAGAAAATCTGTGATAGAGACTGATATAGGGACTAGGTCATTTGATCCAGGTTTATACAGACATAAGAAAATCTGTGATAGAGACTGAGACAGGGACCAAGACATCTTACACAGGTTTATACAGACATCAGGATATCTGTGATAGAGACTGAGACTGGGACCATGACATCTGACAGAGGTTGATACAGACATCAGAAAATCTGTGATAGAGACTGATACAGGGACCATGACATCTAACAGAGGTTTATACAGGTATCAGGATATCTGTGATAGAAACTGATACAGGGACCAAGACACAGACATCAGAAAATTGGTGATAGAAACTGAGACAGGGACCAGGACATCTGACACATGTGTATACAGGTATCAGAAAATCTGTGATAGAGACTGAGACAGGGACCAAGATATCTTACACAGGTTTATACAGACATAAGAAAATCTGTGATAGAAACGGAGACAGGGACCAAAACATCTGACAGAGGTTTATACAGACATCAGAAAATCTGTGATAGAGACTGAGACAGGGACCATGACATCTGACAGAGGTTGATACAGACATCAGAAAATCTGTGATAGAGACTGAGACAGGGACCATGACATCTGACAGAGGTTGATACAGACATCAGAAAATCTGTGATAGAAACGGAGACAGGGACCATGACATCTGACAGAGGTTGATACAGACATCAGAAAATCTGTGATAGAGACTGAGACAGGGACCATGACATCTGACAGAGGTTGATACAGACATCAGAAAATCTGTGATAGAGACTGAGACAGGGACCATGACATCTGACAGAGGTTGATACAGACATCAGAAAATCTGTGATAGAAATGGAAACAGGGACCAAGACATCTTACACAGGTTTATACAGACATCACGATATCTGTGATAGAGACTGAGACAGGGACCATGACATCTGACAGAGGTTGATACAGACATCAGAAAATCTGTGATAGAAACGGAAACAGGGACCAAGACATCTTACACATGTGTATACAGGTATCAGAAAATCTGTGATAGAGACTGAGACAGGGACCAAGATATCTTACACAGGTTTATACAGACATAAGAAAATCTGTGATAGAAACGGAGACAGGGACCAAAACATCTGACAGAGGTTTATACAGACATCAGAAAATCTGTGATAGAGACTGAGACAGGGACCATGACATCTGACAGAGGTTGATACAGACATCAGAAAATCTGTGATAGAGACTGAGACAGGGACCATGACATCTGACAGAGGTTGATACAGACATCAGAAAATCTGTGATAGAAACGGAGACAGGGACCATGACATCTGACAGAGGTTGATACAGACATCAGAAAATCTGTGATAGAGACTGAGACAGGGACCATGACATCTGACAGAGGTTGATACAGACATCAGAAAATCTGTGATAGAGACTGAGACAGGGACCATGACATCTGACAGAGGTTGATACAGACATCAGAAAATCTGTGATAGAAATGGAAACAGGGACCAAGACATCTTACACAGGTTTATACAGACATCACGATATCTGTGATAGAGACTGAGACAGGGACCATGACATCTGACAGAGGTTGATACAGACATCAGAAAATCTGTGATAGAAACGGAAACAGGGACCAAGACATCTTACACAGGTTTATACAGACATCACGATATCTGTGATAGAGACTGAGACAGGGACCATGACATCTGACAGAGGTTTATACAGACATCAGAAAATCTGTGATAGAGACTGATACAGGGACCATGACATCTAACAGAGGTTTATAAAGGTATCAGGATATCTGTGATAGAAACTGATACAGGGACCATGACATCTGACACATGTGTATACAGGTATCAGAAAATCTGTGATAGAAACTGATACAGGGACCAAGACACAGACATCAGAAAATTGGTGATAGAAACTGAGACAGGGACCAGGACATCTGACACATGTGTATACAGGTATCAGAAAATCTGTGATAGAGACTGAGACAGGGACCAAGACATCTTACACAGGTTTATACAGACATCAGGATATCTGTGATAGAGACGGAGACAGGGACCATGACATCTGACAGAAGTTTATACAGACATAAGAAAATCTGTGATAGAAACGGAGACAGGGACCAAGACATCTTACACAGGTTAATACAGACATCAGGATATCTGTGATAGAGACGGAGACAGGGACCATGACATCTGACAGAGGTTGATACAGACATCAGAAAATCTGTGATAGAAACGGAAACAGGGACCAAGACATCTTACACAGGTTTATACAGACATCAGGATATCTGTGATAGAGACTGAGACAGGGACCATGACATCTGACAGAGTTGATACAGACATCAGAAAATCTGTGATAGAAACGGAAACAGGGACCAAGACATCTTACACAGATTTATACAGACATCAGGATATCTGAGATAGAGACTGATACAGGGACCAGTACGTCTGACACATGTGTATACAGACATCAGAAAATCTGTAATAGAGACTGATACAGGGACCAAGACATTTGACAGAGGTTTATACAGGTATCAGGATATCTGAGATAGAGACTTACACAGATATAAGAATATCTGAGATATAGAAACATCTCTAACAGTCATATCCTACCTTTCTGGATAGAGCAGTATCTTTGGATTTCGTCAATGGTTTGAAAGGAAAATGAAGGGACTGAAATTGAAAATCATTACATTTCATTAGTGTCCTGTATCTAAAATAACTGAACAATTTGTAATCCCTTCTGGAACTTCTCCAAAATGTTCATTACAGGTACAGGAATATTTGGTCGCATGAGGAAGGGTCCAGAAGAAGCGAAATATGTTGCTGACCTGTCAATTTTGATGCACTTAACATTGAATTAATTAAAAGTGTATCGCTTTGTAATAAACTCACATTAAGAGAAATAAACTACTTCATCAAACTGATCAATATTCCATATCTTGTGCCTTTTTAAAATTCTATTTAACTTGAATTAAATTGATTTTATAACTAAATTAAACCCCATGACCAAATCATCACATCAATAATGAGATACAATGCCAATTAACATACCGAATGGAACCATCTGATTTTGATACTTGTATGCAAATAAATTATTTTGTCTCTCTTATGTGATTCAAATTTTCAACATCTATATGAAATGCTGGTTACTTTTTTTAACAACAAAAAGAAACATAAATGATTACTGCCTCCATTTATATGTCAGCTAGAATTGCTGCATGGGTCTTGTAAAGTTAATCAGGTCATCAAAATTCAACATGGCTACAATTCAGCTTACAATCTATTTGTTTGAGCAAACTTAATTGCAAGCTATCACAAACTTATGTAAACATTAGCTAGTAGCTTAGACTATGAAGATCACCCAGCCCACTCCTGAACAAGATACACACATTAGAATAAACAGAAAGAAGATTTGTGTGTGATGGATTGATGACTTCACTATCACCTTCATCAGACAAATGGTCATTGAAGCATACTAGCACTGACGTACAAGTATTCACTCAAACCTTTTGCTAGTTGTGTTATAAGAACTTCTATTCTATTGACATTTACAATCAGAACAAAATGTTCTGAATCATACATGTTTGTTATCTATCTGTTAATCCTACCAGAAATCTAACATCATCAGCATTTTTCTCTTGAAATTTTATTATATTTGTATCATAAAGTAAAAATGACAGCATAAAGAAGAATAGAGAAAAATGCTATACAACAAAATTGTATTAGAAAATACAAGCTGAGAAGGAATTCCAATTAAATAAGATGAAATTTCATAATGATGCAGTCAAAACACCTTAACAATATATTTTATAATAAATAATAAATGTCAATAAATCACCAGATTAATGCATAAATAAACACATTTATCCATGTCAATAAATCACCAGATATACTGCATAAATAAACACATTTATCCATGTCAATAAATCACCAGATATACTGCATAAATAAACACATTTATCCATGTCAATAAATCACCAGATATACTGCATAAATAAACACATTTATCCATGTCAATAAATCACCAGATATACTGCATAAATAAACACATTTATCCATGTCAATAAATCACCAGATATACTGCATAAATAAACACATTTATCCATGTCAATAAATCACCAGATATACTGCATAAATAAACACATTTATCCATGTCAATAAATCACCAGATATACTGCATAAATAAACACATTTATCCATGTCAATAAATCACCAGATATACTGCATAAATAAACACATTTATCCATGTCAATAAATCACCAGATATACTGCATAAATAAACGCATTTATCCATGTCAATAAATCACCAGATATACTGCATAAATAAACACATTTATCCATGTCAATAAATCACCAGATATACTGCATAAATAAACACATTTATCCATGTCAATAAATCACCAGATATACCGCATAAATAAACACATTTATCCATGTCAATAAATCACCAGATATACCGCATAAATAAACACATTTATCCATGTCAATAAATCACCAGATATACTGCATAAATCACTAAAATATTCATAAATTACTAAAATATTTAAACAGATATAGAAAAAAAACCACAGCAGCAATCAAAAAAGTGCAAAAATAAATCAGACAAGCAAATACAAATATTACAAATCTCACCATTCGTTCTTTCCTTTGTTTGCTTTTGAAGATTTTGTTTGTTGTAGCGGACTTTGTCTATGGAAATCAAAGACATGCAGAAAATTATAGCTCACAGAAAAATACACAAAGCAAATACACAAAAGGACAAAAAAACCAATGCACCACATTACAATTATAACAAAATGATTTCTGAATTCAAGCTGTTAAAAAATTCAACCTACAATACATTTAGTCTCAAAACTGTCAATAACCGTTAATATTCTGACATCTCTTTCACTGGCAAATCATCAAGTACTAAGAGCTCTAAATGAAGTCATAATCAACACATATCTCTCATCAACTTAACTTCCTGTGATTAAGTATTTCGACGATATTAACTGTTCTTCTTTCCTGAAACTGATTTCCAGATTTCAAAATCTGTTCCCTAACATTATCATCCTAAATTCTGGTGCAGTAATTGCCAGACTAACACAAGTCCATTCTACATGTAACTCACAAATTTGTGGTAATGAGCAACTAAACAGTGTCTGTAACATTAACATGAAACAGTTTCAAGTTTACAAAGGATAAAAAATTACAGCATTGGAAATAAGACCTCTTCAAAAATCAATTTGAAAAATTAAATTACCTAAAACAAGCAACAGTCAAAAGTGTCACTAGACAACGACACAAAGCTTTAAGAGTAAATCAGTATATACACACATCTGGAGACAACAAAACACAGTGCTGTTTCCAAGCTGAGGAGAGACATACCTTTTTGCCAGTTAAGGGTTCACGGGTGTAGTCTTTCTGTGGGGATGGAGTTTTGTGAGGGAAGATCTGTGCCAATTCTTCATCAATTGATGGTAGTTCTACAGCTATCATTGTTTTCTACAAAATAGTTTTTTTTAAATGAATGAAAACAAAACACCAATCATTGTCGTCCTACAATGATGATTGCAAATCTTTAGATAATCAACATTATTATCCTCCTGTTTTTTAATGTTATAACTTTCCTTCTTTTTGCCTCTTAACTGTAGTCTAACAATAACTATAGTAGTCTTTCATAATACCAGAAAACACTTCCTTCAAACAAGTCATAACGGCCATAAGCCATTATAAGCAATATATTTGGCTAGTCTAGAAAATGATAAACGGAATAGCACCTTAAAATACAAGTTTAGAGTTAGATACAGTAGAGACAAACAATTAATCAAACTGCATCATACAGCGAGTTTGTCCTTCTATGACTTGCCATTGGTGCTAAGGGCATAAATTTCTAAGCCCAAGAAGCGACTGAGTAAAAATCCAAAGAGATCACAAGGAAAATCAAAATCTAGAGGTCCCACAATTCAATAAATCTTATACATTAGATAGTTCTTGAGCAATGTAAAGTACTTGTGTATATTCCAAACCATGCCACTATTCAAATAAATAAAACTTGTCACGCAGATTTTGGCAAATCTCAGGAACTAAAAGTCAACCAACATACATTTTCACGATCTTTTTAATTCATAATAAAAATTTGGATGGGTATTTGATGATATGCTATCTATAATAGCTGTAAAATAGTGAATTCAATCTCCTTTAAGGCTCAAGAAAAGATGTCTGTTTTAGTCTATTACCAATTTAACAAAGAACACAGAGACCCTCCTACCACCTAATCTTACTGTGGATGATGAAGCCGTCTGATCTTGCCTATAATGCATTATGAATTGGCCTATAACCAGATTTTACAGAAAGACCGAGACTGTTCTACCACCAAATCTTACTGTGGTAGGTTGAGCCTTCAGAGCATCCTCTATTGCCTCCACAGCCTCCTTGAATCCCTTTGGAATGCGATTATTCAGCTTGAATTTGTTTCTGTGATCAGAATAAAGATACACATTGTCCTCAGGAATCCAGGCGCTGAAAGAAAACCATACAATAATCATTTTCCAATAATCAAGCAAATTTGTTTGCAGTTTGAGTTAAACAATGAAATTTTTGTAGTACAGTGAAATATGATGTTTCAGAAGATCAAGGGACTAGCAAAAAAGAATTGATACGTCATTTGAGGTATGTTTTATCGACATTTACTACCACTGATGGTGACACATTTTTACCTCAACAAAAACAGTAAATACTAAAACATAGGTTAAATACAAAGAAACATTTTCATCTACAAATACTAAACCTTTTCATGCATGAAAGAAAAATGCCTCTTAACACAATTCAACAAGATGTATTAAGTTAAAATATTTCAAGTGTTACCAATGTTCACAGTTCTGTAAAATAGATCTCACTATATGTTACCACTGCAATGGTGGCAGTCATGAAACAATGTCCCATTATCACTGTTGATTACATGTCATAACTTGTAAGTATGTAATTAAAAATAAAATCTGTGTCCAGTCTTTCATTAACCTTGTAACACAGAGCAAACAACAATGCACTATAATTTTCAATTTGTCATGTATGAAGCTATGTCACCAGCCTTTCTTGAAAATACCGTGGTATGTGAAATTCTACACTGGGGTCAAAATACCTATACAACACAGTAGATCTATTGTTTGAATCATGAAGTGCCATTGGCCATGTTACCGTAGTAAACTGTCCATGAAAAACTTTGCAAAGTTTGATTTATAAAAATTGGACTCATAATGGGGGTTAGTAAGTTGTGATATATTGGGATAAAATTCGAGATCAGGTAAAAATTTGACATATTGAAAAATTTCAATCAATGAAGTTTGATTCAAAGAAATTTAACTGTATTTTATTTCCAATACAAACCTTGATTTAAGGTTAAAATTACAAGATGAAAAACTCAATACACAGGACATTTAAAAAGAAACTGCAAGTCACCATGTAAAAATTTATGTTATGATTGCAAATGAAGACAATTTGAAAAAATAGCAATATCACTTTTTGGACAGCCAACAAATTGGTATCTTAATTGCTACAGTGCACTCACATCCTCAATGGTAAGTCCATGAAAGTTATTTTCACATTTTGTTTAATTTTGAACAAGTCTCTGATTGCTTTTTGGACGAGCATGTGACAGTACATTTTCATACGTTTAGCCTGTCTGAATTATGTACTCTTAAGATAACTTATATTCTAATGATACCAGTTTTCAACAATTAAGAAAAACAACTTACTAATTTTCTGAACCAAAGAAAAAGACAAAGTGGTGTGGTTTCTTGTTAGAAGGACGCTTCACTTCATTTTTTGGCTCAATAATCTGAAACAAAATTTACAAATCTCACTAAAAAAGTAAAAAATATCAACACATTATTTTCTCACAGAAAATAACAGTATTCTGCTTCCTTCATATACTGCCAAATTGGTTTTTAAAACATATGATGCAAGCCAAATATCAAATGATACCATTTAAAGGCAAAATAGATAAACTATTGCACCTTGCCAAGATAAATTATTGCTCCTTGCCACAGCAATAAGTCATTCTAAATCAATATTATTCTTGAATGTTTCTCCTACCTTATTTCCTTTTGTTCTGATTGTGGTTTAGTATTTTGGTCTGACGTGTTACCATTGTTTCAACTCCAGCAGTACAGGTATAGAGTTTCCATTTGAATTTATAGAAAGTGGGTCGGTTGGGAGAAAGGAAATTTCATTATAAAAATCTTTCAAAATAATTCTGCATATAATCATTATTAGTATCAAGTACTGACTCTGTGGTGATTCCATTAAAGAAGCAATGCTTTTGAGATCGAAAACAGATCCAAGACCTCTTTCATTACAGGAAAATTACCTTGAGCAACCAAACGATTAGTCTGAACTATTCTGGCAGTCTATTGATTTTTTTTATATCAGTCTGGAATTGATGAAAGTCAGAAATCTTACCCTATAAAGAATGATGAAAATAAGCAAGTGAGAGCGACAATTTATTTCCCCACTTATTCTCTGAATTTGTCAATTATTTTACTCCTTTTTGACAGGGTCCGAGTTCAACCATTCATCAACTCCAGATGGATAAATGTATATAACAAAATAGAAGGATGGGCTTGGGAATACAGGGTGTTTCAATATATTGATTACAATTTCAGTGCAAATAAATTAGTTTCTTGATTTATGTAAATGTGGACAATGCCACACAAATTAAGCCAGTGAGAAGAAGGAATGCTATAAACATTGTGTTATGTTCACAAAGTCATATTAAAAACAATAATGAAGGGGGTCTGTTGTACCATTTATGGATTAGGTAAAGACAATGTGATCATCTACTAAGTAATATTCACATCTGCATGTTTGGTTACATGTCGAGACTTCGCTCTTTTCAATCGAACAATGGATAAGAGGTGGCGATAAACAGCAACTATGTTACATCTGCATGTTTGTTTACATGCCGAGACTTCGGACTTGTCAACCGAACAATGGATCAGAGATGGCTATAAGCAGCAACTGTGTAAACAAGTAGATACATGACTGCATCTTAAATGATAATTTTGTTTTCTGGGCTACGTCACAGTGCTCTCTGTCTGGCTTCAGCTGGAATTGAGGTGTTGGATGGGTTCTCGTTCTTGGCTATGTAAACCCTATACCCCCCGCTTTTCAACAAGCACCGGCTACATCATTTCGTGTCTCCTCACCTTTCCAGGCCATGCCGGGAATCCCTTCATCTTTGCCCTACAAAATATTGAAATGTGTACATGAATAAGGGCCTTGCACAACATAAATCTCGTAATCAAACCCACATATCTCCAATACAACAAATCACTTACCACACAAGATCGTCAACTTCAAATTTGGACTCCATCTTGAAATTTGCATGTGAACAGTGCATCATGGGTAAATTTTCGGCGTGGGTAAAGAAACGGTTTTGTTTACTTCTGCAAGGTGGTCGAAGGGAAATAACTCGTCATTATAGTTTTTCTGTTCCACTCCTTAATTTCATCAAGCATTATTTGTTCGTCCATTCGCGTTATATTTATATACACTAAGACAATAATACATAATGGACATATTTATTGTTTGAAATATCAAAGCATAAAACTTGATAAATCGTGATGTTATGGCTTTGTCCAGAGATATACTGAACGCGACGCCAAATTCCTCAGTTCTAAGAAAATATGTTAGGTTTATTTAACATCAATTGCGGAACAAACTTTTCAAGCTGACATCAATATATGGAGGCCCAGATAGAAACGGATATGCCATCCTGTAGATAACCCCACACGTTTTCACGTTCATTCAGTGAATCGAATTGAACCCTCTATGCCAAGACGAAAGATGAGTGCGTTACCGTTGCACTAATTTATCTTTGAAGCGAGAAACAGAAAAAGAGTGGAGAAAACTAACGATGCCTTTTTAAACTAACAGTCAGAAAAATTATGACCAAAATAACATTTTCTTGTAAACGACAGGTCACAGAAGTTAATATATTAATATGTAACTAGATATAGATATAGCGACACGAATTTTAATGAAAAGTAGGGAGGTTTAAAACAAAACAAACAAACAAAAAAAAAACACTTTTCGATGAGCGTACTTGTGCCGTTTGGGACTTTGTCAAGTATTGGTTGACTGAGGTTATAACGCCCAAAGTTAATTTACAGTTGTTGATGAATGTACACTGTGACTTTTTTTATTTTGTAAGGCCAACGACTATCACGATGCTTACTAGAGGACGCAAACGTCATTAACAATGTGTGTGCGTAACGTTCAAGTGAGTTACCGACCGACCGACTGACCGCGACTCCTACCCTTTACAGGTATCGACAGTGTTCTGGCGACGTAACGGCTTAGTTAGATAGTTACACGTGTTCCGTCTCCGCGACTTCTCCCGTTGTCGGTATTGTCTCATCGACACACATTAGTGTCCTAGCAAGTTTACAAGTTTACAAGTTTTATTAATCACTCCAGACACACCATAAGTGTGTAACAGGAGGTCAATCATCAGATACAATCAGATATGTCTAGCGACGTCTAGACTGTCAGGTTATTTTGATAATGGACTTTTAATAACCCATAAATCAATTAATTAATCAGTGTCACGCCATTGTTAGATAACTATTCTATTAATTTCGATCGTCACGCTCCCGTGCACTCACCACACAACGTGTGACTATCATCAGGCAAATAAGACAATGGCAATTTATTCTCACAAACATTAAATTGTAGAAAATAAATAATAATGCTGATAATAATACCTGGTAGGACAGGATTGACATAAGTATTATGAATTATCTCATTAATATCAGTAATTAAAGTATACCAACACACGTTGTGTTACATAACTGAATATTGTATGAAACTAGAATGCCCTACATAATAATACCGGGACATATAATGTTTTCTACTATTAAATATTGACTGTTGAGTACAGTTAAACAAATAACGAAAAGTGTCGTCAATTTCTTCTAAAGTAAACAAAATTACATAACCTATTTTCCCGTGGTATGTTAGGCTACCATATTCTATTGGTAACGTAGTATTGCGTGGTCTAAATTTACAATAAGATCTGGCTAGTTTTGGAGGCAGATCAAGCAGGTACTTTTCTAAACGAAGATAATTTTTATACATTCTTTAGTTCCATTCGGAGGAGAACAATTTTCATTTCACTAGTTTTTGAATTTGTCAGGCTGTTAATTTATAAAAAAAAATGCACTTTAGCCGATGTACTTCAAAACACCTTGACGGTTGAAATCGTGTATCATTCTGCATTCATCAAATATACTTTTCACATACTTTACCCATGAAATTTCACAATAGTACAAAATTGCTAACGGAATATTATTTTATTTATTGCGGATATTTTTAGCCACGGACTTAGAATATATCTAAACTGCAAAAAATCCAACCATTCTTACTCCTAACTTCTAGAGGAAATCTACGGCGTCCTCCGTATGACATCAAATTCGGTATGGACGTTTTGACTTAAATTATGTTTGCAAAATGTAAACGTTCGATAAGATTGAAATTACAGAAACCCTATACTTCACATCCATATCATACGCAGAAGGTTTGACAGCTTTGTCAAAGATATCCAGTGGACAATCTATAGAAAAAATTATGATCCCTATATTTGAATACATGAACACCTTCAATACACTACCGTTTGATATAAAATTGTGTCAAACAAGTTCTAGTATAATAAGCCCCAAAGTATTTAAAATCCGTAGCTTATTTCTATAACCGTACCATTATATGTAAAATAAAAATATTCAGGATTTTTTTTATTCTACTTTGATTTTGTTTTATTGACATCGGCTTTAATATGCTACCGGTTGGAATATTCAGAAAATACCTTTAATTGAGTTTGCAAACCGTCTGTCGTGTCTGATAGTGGTGTAGTGTCACCAGTGTATACTTTAACACATAGCTTCGGATATACATGCTATTCAGCCTCGATCTGGTCGCTTATATCAGACAGCCCTTTACAGTCACGTGATTTCATATAATTTTCTAAATAATTCAGCAAAAAGGTGAAAACAAAGAAGGGGAAAGATTGTCACCTTGACGGACCTCAGACCTACATGGAAATACGTTAGAGATCACATCATCTCTCCTCACTGTAGCCTTAATACGTATTTTAATAACTCGAAAACGTTTTCCATCAATACTATTAATCAAAAGTTTATTCCAAATAGCTACTGTCAATCACTACCTAAGGCCTTCTCAAAATCTATAAAACTGTAATTTTAAATACCAGTATTAAAAATATAGTCCAATACTTCAACATACAATGGCAATATTCGTTACACAACATGTCTTGAACAACCGTCTTTTTATTTTTATTTCAGCAGGAAGTATTGGCTCTTTAGACAAGTTAATCAATACATATAACACTTGGTTATTTTTGCCTTTTTTGTTTTTTTTAACCGGAAGTTTTAAAAGTTTAAAGAGATCTTCATTCCCAGTCTTACAAGTCTTCTTAGAACTACTTGTATTAATAATTTTCCGGTATTCTTTAGGATTTCTAGACCTTAATGATTGACGTTTATTGTTAATCTCTAACTTAGTCTTAGTCACGCAGATATTTAATTTTTCCCTTTACATACATTTCCTCTTTGACGTAACCATTACCAAAATTTTTATACAATCGTTTTCAGTTTCTATAGTTTTGGCGGATAGACTTACAATCTCTCATAAACCAATGTTTTTAAATTTAACAACATGGCTATTTTCATAATGATAAAGTGTGATTAGTACCAATGCATGTTGTGAATCATGAATAAGAAGATAACATATCTCCTGAGTATCGTTAAAGCTGACAAAATTAGTATATTAATCATCAGTAGAGTGATAGCGTATTATTTCATTGATGCTATTTATAGAATGACGTCACTTACTTTATGGAATCTGCATAAACACATTCGAGACCATCCTCCCACATTATAGGCTTATTTACATGTATTACCTCCTTATTCAAGTTTTCATACGTGTTGTTATTTGTACACAAATGTAAACACATATACCGCGGGCAATTTACATCAGACAAGGGAGATAATTCATTAATGAAAAATTCATCAACAACACCATGTGTATCAATGTTACCTATACAGTAATCAGTTATGCCTGTATTGTTATTATGTGTAAGATTACCGATACCTCGTCCGTGCGGCTATTGATTATAATCATATTACTGTGCTTACACAAGTCAAGGCGATATCCTATCATAATCATTATTTATGTTTAAGGTACATTGATACCAAACTATTGTTCACACGTGAAAAAGAACCGTGTTAAACTTCAAAGAAATTAGGGAGATCCGTATTTCTACCATTAAAATCACCAGGGTGACAAATAGTGATTATCTTGTGTATGGAAAGATGATAGATCGTTTCTACATCTTCAAAAAGGTCTGGCAAGGAATATTGTGTACTACTGGGGACGTATAATAATTTGTACAATACGTCCCTGTTATAATTTAAAAAACAAGCCCTAAAATCGAAAGGCCTGAAGACCGTATTCTCTGTCAGCCTTACAGCTCATTAGTATAACAAATAAACACATAAGAATGCAATGTACATGTGCAAGTTTTTCTCTAGAATCAAATATATTACTAATGCCAAAAGAAAAATAGTAATTTATGATGCTACATAAGAAAAATAAACGAAAACATGTCTCCAGAGAAATCGTGAAAAGCATTTGCATGCTCACAAACAACATGAGGCGAAACGAAACATGACTGGAAGGAAAAAAATCTCAGTAGTAACGTGAAAAAATGAAATGTGGGTGATAGATCCTGATTTTCAATTTGAGGAAAATCAAAAAGCGTTTTTATCATTTATACAAGCCCATTATTTGAATGAAAAAAATACATCGATTTAAGGTAAAATGCCCTACTTATTACTCATACTATGAACATGATTTGTCAAAACAGAGTGTAGATTTTTAGCTCATAAACAACAACTACTACCTATACCAGGTAAATTCTTTGAGCAATATGCTTAGAGTCCACAAATACAGTAGAAAATGCTTTGAGTCCACAAATACAGCAGAAAATGCTTAGAGTCCACAAATACAGCAGAATATGCTTAGAGTCCACAAATACAGCAGAATATGCTTAGAGTCCACAAATACAGCAGAAAATGCTTAGAGTCCACAAATACAGCAGAAAATGCTTAGAGTCCACAAATACAGCAGAATATGCTTAGAGTCTACAAATACAGCAGAAAATGCTTAGAGTCCACAAATACAGCAGAATATGCTTAGAGTCCACAAATACAGCAGAAAATGCTTAGAGTCCACAAATACAGCAGAATATACTTAGAGTCCACAAATACAGCAGAATATGCTTAGAGTCCACAAATA